CACCCAAAGCAACAAGCAGTTCGCAATCGCACTTCTAACACAATGGAGACTGAAATGGCTACCACCTCCTCCTCACAGGATTGCGCACGAAGCCCTCAAACGAAAACATCTCGCCCTAGGTCTTCAAAAGCATGGGAATATTTTAAAGTTAGTCCAAAACGCAAAGATATTTATATATTTATATCTCACTGAGACTGCTGCTTGACCGGAAGCAGCAGCTAGCTGTGGTGGCTACCATTAGCAGCTAGCATTTGCTCTCCGATTTTTACATAAAAATGGAATTATGGATTATAAATTCAATAATTTTTTTATACATAGACGTTAAAAACCTATGGATTAACCGATTCAGCCACGTTTTTTCTCATTTTAATGCCATTGAACACGTATTTTGATCAGATTGACAGCTACGGCGGTGAGACGATCTCCCTAGAAGCTCTGTGAAGGTACGTGTTGTGATGACTGTATTTGCTTCCCCTGTCGCGAGTCCGGATCACTCAGTGATGATACTATGTACCTACATAATCTGTGGAGTCTCAGCTTTAATCGGATATATTGTATGTGCAGCTACGATAAGTAATAAGGGTAGTTTTATCTTGAGTTCTGTGCCAATGTCCGTTAGCATTTTTCGCTCAGGGGTCATTTAGATAGCATTTTAGTTTGCTTCTTATGAGACTTGTGTTTTGTTTTGGTAAACATAGTTTGTATCGTGAGTTAGCTGAGATTATTTCCGTTAATCTGGTATAACACATTAATAGGTTCTTAAATATTAAGATCCCCTGAGACACAGTATCGTGAAAAAAAAATGTTTTACATTACGTTTTTTTTACATTACGTTTTTTATGAATTGAACAACAGAAACATAATTGTTCGATGAGTCGACTAATCGATCAAATAATCGCCCGATTAATCGTTTTCAAAATAATCGTTTCCCCCCAGCACTACTTTTCAGGCAGGGGGGTGTGTGGGAGCAAAACTCCATCTGGAGGGAACTTTGGGAGTTTACATGCACAAAAACCTATATAACACACTACAGGAAAAATAACAAACAAACAAAAGTTAAAATGGAAACTATTGATATGCAAAATACCAACCACTGCACTAGTATCATATTTAGATGCCTCAGAGAAGTCTTTTCATTGTTTTTTAACAAAAAGGTAATCTGAAAGCTTGTCTTGGGTTGTTGGACATGATTGATAATATGCATTATCAATATGCCAATCAGAAATTGGCACTAGGATTGGCAGGAAGATGTATGAAAGAACAGGAAGGAAAGAATAGACAAAAACAAAAACTATGACTTCCTTTAGGAAATGGTGCATTTCAAATGTGATTCCTTGTATTGGAAAATAACCTTCGCAAAATATGCAAAAGATAACCTTATGCAAAATAATCAAAGGAAGAATGGAGAGCACTGTTTGATATGTGGTCGGAAAATGTGTGTGAAGCTTGTAGAACAAAAGGGTAAAAGGTCACGGTTCTCAATGTTTTGAAGCCTAGACTCCACACAGTGAGTAAGACACCACACAGCTTGTGTAGACTTTTCAGCAGGGGTTTTGAGTACTGACAAGATACAGTAAGCCTTTCTACACACACCCAGAAGCAACCCATTTCTAACATCAAAGTGATGGTTTATCTATCCTTCCTATGCCCTCTGCCTAATTGTGCAAAGGGCAGCCATACGAGATCCTGTATGTTTTTATAGCCAGTTCTCATTTAAGGGATGCTGGGCCCTGGCTACTTATTTACCATGAAGCCTTGCTCTGAGCTAATGGCTGCTGACTGCTGAGAGAATACGCGGTTAGTTTGCGGGGCCTGAGGCGGCGGCAGCAGCATCGGCCGGTCCTTCCCTCCCCTTCCCCTCTTCCATCGATCCACTGTGACTCTGCAGGAGCTAGATGAAAACCTCTCCCTATGATTTATGGGATGTCATCTGCAGGGGAACCGGCACAGTCCCCTCCCTCCCCTTTCTGAAGAGCGAGTAACATGCCAGAGGGTTTAACCAGTTCCCCTGGGTCTTAATGCCTGATGTTTTACCACAGGGACACAGAAACTAGCTGGCTTTGTAGTCACCGATTTACATTACAGTGGTATTCCAATTACCATTGATGTATTGCAGAGTTACTGGTGAAGAGAAGCAAAGACTATCCGTTATTGAACAAACTTAGGGGATACCGCAAAAAAATACCCCAAAATAAATGTGTTAGGTCAAACTGATTATTATGTATTTGCACGTATAACGTAACATAATTTCTCTATTTATTAAAACATATATTAATAATGATTCATTAAGTCATGTTCCATTTCTTGTTTTTTTTCCCTTAAGTATTACAAATGTAGACACATATTTAACCAGACCACCATGGAATGAATGAAGAAATGACAACACATGGCTAGCTTAGCATCCTACTAAGTACTTAAGTATTAATTAAGGAGCCATGAGTAACCGCCAAATGTTAGCATATTTGTTTATCTGTGAACAAACACACATTCATGTCAGTGTGTCCCACTTTCCTCCGTTTGCACTGATGGGAGCATTAAGAAGTCATTCTGCAGGCTTAATCCACTTAAAATGAGGAAGTTTTTTTTTAAGGATTCTGTCTTAAGGGTGCCCTATAAAAAGGAAACAAGTAAAAGGCCTCAGGAGACTTCAAGATGCAATGTTCATTATTTAAAAGCATGCAGGATAGAAGAGGAATCACCAGCGAGAGAAAAGGGCGAGGGTGTGTTAGTATGTGAACATATTCAGCTTCATGTGGTGCGGTGTGTCCCTGTGGACAGCGAGCCAGGGCTGATTTTTTGATCTGCTGCCCAAAACCTTTTCTGCTCGTCTGCTTTCCTCTTTTCCTCCCCTCCCTCACAAGCAGGACGTGTACAAAAAAAAGAGACTTAAAATCAATGCGGGAGGAGAAGCAGAGGAAAGGAGGAGCAAAGAGAAAGACAACCCTGGAGTGCTGAGGCTAGCAATATCATGCCTGACCTGACCAACATCAATCTACCAGCGATATAAAGAGGGATACGTAAATACATAAAAAATGCATATGTGAATGTGTTTTTAACAATAAATAAAGCCATAATGTTAAAACTATGTGTATATTTAATTAAAGGGGCGCTTTTATGCTCAAATGACTTTATTTTTCTCATACTGCCTGTGCTGCAGCACCTTTTTTCACCCTCTGTCTGAAACCAGAGCCTAGTCTGCTCTGATTGGTTAGCAGGACAGCTCTGTTGTGATTGGTCAACCACTTAGAGATGTTCCACCCTTTAAGCCTAACAAGTACAATGTGTTGGAGCGCTGCCCAATAGAGTAGTACGTAGTGATGTCACTTTGTCACGGAAGTAAACAAAGGGAAAAGGGAATAGCCCAAAAAGCATAAAAGGGCACCTTTAAACATATTCCCACACCCTCACTGATATTGTGTTATGCTGATGATGTTACGTTGATGCTTCAAATTAAGGAATGAACGTCACTATTTTACACCTGTGTGACATTTCCAGAGAGTGCACTGTACACCAAAGAGACAGTGTGTTAGTGATTGTGTGCAACTCTCTGTATTATGGCACTTGTTTTTCCACAGGGTCGTATAACACAAAAAACTGTAAAAACAAGCCGTGGGAAATGACTGTATAGTGCACTATACGTGCCCGAGCAGCTATAAGTGGCAATGACGGGGTGCTGAGAGCTGTGGTGTTGGGGGTGGAGAGGCGGAAGGAAGGAAGGCAGGAAGGAAGGGTGTTGAGCTGTGAGGGGCTAAAAAAAAAGTCCAGTCGAGTGATGGAAGTGCTGACAGATAGGCCGAAATGTGTTAGAGTGAAAAAAAGTGGAAATCAGTGGCTCCTCACTACACTGACATGAACACTGATGTGCACGTAGACAGCAAGAGAGGCATAGAAGAATACAAATGGACATACACGTTGATATCGATTCTCCTATGCGAGGTGGGTATTATTTTCTAGCTGAATTGTATATGTCAAAACTTGAGTTATAATATGTGCTTGTAAAAAATGCTCTTTCTGAAGACTTTTAGTTGTTTGAGGTCAAACCAAAAAAGATTTCCGCATAGGAAACTTGATTCTTACAGCCTTCTCTCTGTGAAAGGTTATGGCTTTGTGCAGCTTCGATATAGAAATGAAAAGACAAATGTGAAACACGCTTTAAGATAGGCAAAGAGAGAGTGCACACAATGACAAAATGGTAATTTTTTTTGGCTAACACAGAGCCCCGGCAGACAAAAACGTCCGCGGAAAGATCTGAGATGAGAGAAGAGGGTTCTTGACGGTAAAAAAAAGTATGAAAAATCAAAATCACCTAATCCTTTTCTTATAAAGCCCCTGGAAACTGATTCAGTCCTGGCCTTTGTTCTCTTGCTTTAGAACACCTTGAATGGGATGTAATGTGAAAACCAAATTGAACAGTTCTTTGACCCAAAATGGAATATTTTAAATATTGTTCCCTTTGTATGAAACACACACACCCCTTCATATGCAATTTTTAAAGTGTAAAGTAATGAACCTGCAAAATAATTAAAACAATCACAAGGCATGTTTTTCAAATTAGGTGAACTTTCCATGACTACTCACCCTTATGAGTAGTCCTAATTGACTGTTCGCTAAACCCTGACACTGAAACGTGATTGTCCAATGATAGATTAGCAACGGTATCTGGGTAGGTCAGGCCTGTCAAGCTTTGGATTACTCCGTATGTTGACAGGGTTCATGTTTTATACGAGCTAACTGGAAACATTAAAAAGTCATTTCCAACCACCTGCCAGCTTGAATTCAACCGAAAAAATAGACGGTGACCGGCGAGAAACTAGAAGAGAATTGTTCTGCCCTTGTCTGAAATCAAGGAGCACGGAAAGCTTGACAGGCATAGCAAAAGTAACTTAGGCGATGGTGCTTAGCGAACAGTCAATCATCTGTTCATTCTGTACACTGTTACCCACTAAATCCCTCATCTCCCAGCCTCCCCCTAAATCCTCCATGTAATAAAGTCCACTCACCATCCTCTGTGGGCACGTAGACGTTGAGGTAGAGGCAGTCCTCGCTCTGGTTCTGGATGTAACCCGCCGCCACGTCCAGGTTGTCCGTGAACCAAACGGGAAGCATAATCTCCGGGAGCACGCCGTGGACGTTCTGAGGGCACACAGGGGCAAACTGGGTGGCGTTGCGGATCTCCTGCCAGGATCCCGGGGCTTCGGGCGGCTGGAAGCGGCGGTCGCCGATGGGTGCCGTGGCGTAGGGGACGCCCAGGTACTGCTCTACAGGGCCCAGGATCTCGTTGTTCAAGTCCTTCTTGATGCCTCGGATCTTGCCGTAGTTGGTGGTGACTATGGGGTTTTTGGAAGGGTCCATCTTCTGGCTCGAAGCCAGGCTGCAGAGCAGGATGAGGCCGAGCACACCCATTAGGCACCAGTCTGTCATGAGACTAAGGGGTAGCGTCCTGGACAACAAACCCCGTTGCCTTTGTTTACTTCGAGCAAGTGGAAGAGGTTGCATGGTTGGATGCGTACTGTTCAGCCAACTGCTTATAGTCTGTTCTGGAGAAATACAGTCCTTTATATGGGATTATAACCACCAGTCTGGAAGCACCACTAACCCTAAAATACCATGTGGAGCTTTTTTGAAGGTTTGATCAAGACCAGGAGTGCTGAGTAACAGTGAGATGGAGGGCAAAGCAGCTGTTGGGGGGAAAGAAGGGTCCTCAGTGTGGGTGCCAGGTCAGTGTTGGTTCAGAGCAACAAGGATCCGAAACGCTTCCCTAGCCATGGTTCTGTTTCGTTTCATCCCTATTGGTCCCCCATTATCCAGATTGTTTTCTACAGCTGCGGAATTCTGAAAGAAACAGAGAAGGAGGATATTTAAAGCACAGTGATACATAAATAAATAGTAAGAGAGAGAATGAGGATAAGAGAGATTATAGTTTATCTAAAGCAGATATATTCCATTAGATGTTGTTGGAGGAACATTTTCCTTTCAACTGTTTCCAAGTGAAATATTGTTCCTGAAATAAAAGCAATGGGATGAAAAGCCCTCTACAGACAGCATTGTAGTGATCAAGTCAAAAATACACATTAACCCTCTGGAGTCGGTGCGCATAATTTTACGTAATTAATCATATATTTTCGATTATAAGGAGTAGAAATATGATTCAGATATCCGCGGAATCGCTGGAAGAGTATCTTTCCAGCGGTATCTCCTGTGAGACTGTAACCAGGGCACAGCAGCCAATATGGCCGCTCAAAGCAGCTTGACTTTACACTGTGTGGGATTGGTGGATTCGTGTGTCCGTCAAGGAAATCTCGGCCATCATGGTCTGAAATGACCAATGGACATCGAGAAATCACTAAGGACCTACCCACCAAGTAAACAAAACATAAACCACGTGTCTCCCATCAGTTTACGTCTGTGAGGAGAGAGAGAGAGACAGAGAAAATGGCTAAAAAAAAACTTTACAGTTGCCGACTTCGCTAGAGATTTTTTTCGCTAGCAGCAGTGAAGATAGAGCCTCAGAACCTGAAGTCTTCGACTCTTCTGAAGAAGAAGAATACAAAGACAACAACAACGATCCATTTGGACATGAGTAAGTATAAATATTACAGTAATAGTGTACTGGCAATGTGTGGGGAATACCGCGAAAATGAACGATAGGTTTATTGATATATATTTTTTATCGATAGTCATGAACTTTTTATTGGACAAAATAGACTCTCCATTAGCAAATGTTTACTCTGTGTTAACGTTATTTTGTTGTGTAAAAGTGAGATTACATGTGTAGATGATTAAATAAATCATGTATTCGTCCCACAACAGAGACATTTACAGTGACATGTTTTTGCCATCGATTATTTTATCATACTGTTCTGTACAGATGAGACTCTGTCATAGATTTATTTATATGTGTGCCTGTTATTATTTTACCGTCCTGTACAGATGAGACTTTGTAATCAGATGTAGCCTATGTATATGTGTGTCTGTGATTTTATACTGAATGTAAAGTAACTGGAAATACCTGTGTGTGTGTGTGTGTGTGTGTGTGTGTGTGTGTGTGTGTGTGTGTGTGTGTGTGTGTGTGTGTGTGTGTGTGTGTGTGTGTGTGTGTGAGAGAGATCGAGAGAGACTCCTTCTCCAACCTCCCAAACTTTCTTTTTATGTGTGCATTGTTATTTGTGCTTGAGCAACATTTTACTTGAACTTTATTTCAATGAAATTAGTTGTAATTATTGTCCTACATTTTAATTTGTTTTACAGAGAGGTTTCACAGCTGTCTGGGCCTAGTGGCCCACAGGCGGTGTTTATCCAGCAGCCAGAACATCCATCTGTGCCTGCCCCCAGGTCAAGATCTACCATGGCTCAAGGGCCTTCACCAGAGCCATCACCACCAAGGACCAGCAGACCAGCATCACTACAGCTGCCTCCACCTCCATCTGCGGCTGCCACCAGGTCAAGATACAAACGGCACAAAGGCTCCACCACGGCCATCACCTTCAACCCAGCCAGCAAGGAGGTCTCGTGGAGGTCTTGTATAGTACTTGTACACCCCACCTACACAGTAGCCCATGCACCATCACCCCCACCTACACAGCAGCCAGACCCACTGTCTTGGAAGACATACAAAGACCTTGACACTGTCTTGACATTTATAATGAATAGTTGGTTGAAAGTTCTGATGTTCAATATTGTAAATAGTTAGATTTTCCAGTTTCTTATATTTATATAAATAGTTGGTTGAAAAAAACATATTTATAATAAATTGTTGGTTGAAAAAAAGGTTGAATGCTCAATTTGTATTTGTACACATCACATGAACCTTGGTATGTAATATGAAGTCATTATTCAGTCCTAATGTATCTCAGTCCCTGCTGTGGTGAAAGTAGAGTGATAAACACCTATTTTACTCGAATTCAAATTCAATTTTTTTATTTTAGACATGAATAACACATTTATATACATTGTAATTCAATATTTCACTGCTTTTGTGATCCTAGGACTTTGGTAACCACATTTAAAACACCAAAACAATTCGATCACGAGTAAATTTGTGTTTTCACAAAAGTTTTGAAGATTCTCCGAAAATCGGATGTCAAATTTTAAGCTTTTGACCTACTTATCTCATCAAACACTGCTCTAAGGTGAGTAATTTGCATATATAGCAATACCAGAGATTGTCCTGAACATTTTGATATGTAACACATGGGGTGCCATGTTAGAAGAAATACATTTAAAAAGGTGATTTAAGAAAACATCTAAAAATCGAGAAAATACCCTTAGACTCCAGAGGGTTAACGGAACATTTCATATGGTGATCAGTGTTGGGTGTAGTAATGCGTTACAAAAGTAATGTAACGCATTATTAAGGAAATGTGGGTAATATACTACCCGTTACAATTCTCAGTAACGCAGTTACAACACATTGTAACCCAAAATTAAATGGTGTTTTGTTTTTTAAGAATTTACCAACATCGCGAGACATGCCGACACCAGAGAAAAATTGTGCGGGTAGATTAGTAAACCTGGTGTTTACCCTTCAGGCTCACAAAGATCCCTCCGCTTCGCGTCGGGTTCCTTGATCCACCCGTCGGGTGTTCTTTTCCCCATAATGGCCGCCTCGCTGCACATTATCCCGCTTATTACACGTCCATATACTAAACAAACTACAGAGCCCATTTTGTGTTCCTGTTATTGTTTACTTCCTCTCTGCCTTCTTCTGGTGATTTATCTGACGTCCAGCGCTCCGTCTTTTAACCTCTTTTCCTTTCTCTTTCTTGATCCTCCTTAGCAAACTTCATTATAGTCCTTGACAGTGGTCTGTACTGTATTAACAACGTGTCACATGTTTACAATCAGAATCAAGTATTCAACTAAGCCGTGTAATACAAGTTGTTAGTAGCCTTAAGGGCCTACACAGTTGTTATGCTATACCACATTGCCCTTCACTGGATGTATAATGAGCTGCACTAAATTACATTTTAGCATTTAAAATACCTAGCCATTCTTTTGAGGTTATTTTGGTGAAAGTAATTAAAAAGTTCTATAAAAGTAGTGTAACTCATTATATTTCAGAGACAGTAATATTGTAATGTAACTTATTACTTAAAAAAGACAGTAATATGTACTGTATTAAATTTTGGAAGTAACTTGCCCAACACTGGTGATGATCAACATGTTTTGGTCATTGCATCACAGGTTGAAAAGAAACACAGTTTTCCTGCATGTAGAAACTATCGAATGCAAACTGATTCTACTTCCTCTGGTTTTTGCTACATAATCTAACCCATGGAAATGTCATGTTTACTCTATTTCGAGTGCACATTTCTACATGAGCAGTCCTACTTGTATGCATGAAACCCTAAATTGGACATGTCCACCCTGTCCTCATTTGACATGTATGAGGATACACTCCAAATCCTTGTTGTTGAACTATGTTGAACCTGCCAGCTTACCCCTAACACATCTCAGCAGGGAGCTAATGTAGTCTTACTTCAACAACCCCGCTTCTGATGCCTCAATATCTATGGTTATTCATTTCTTAAAAAGGCTTTCAGCGCCGCATCTGGAGATAGAAATACAACGGACTGCGTGGACGAGGAGTGGAGGCTAGAGATAAGGGTGAGCCTTTCACTGCCCAGTAAGGTCAAAGGGCAATAATGTGCGCATGTAAGCAGCTTAGGACTGCCCAGGACCCTTTCGGGCTGCATGCATAGCACAGAGTCTCACACACACACACACATGTAAGCCTTAATTGCCCCGCACTGTACACTCTGAGTTCCCACACTGTACACTCATTCATGTAATCTACTGCGGAAAAGTGCAAATCCTCATGTCAGAAATGCACGACGCATGCAGGAGATTATACCGTCATAACATTGTTGCGTGGTGTTATGTAATGGTAGGGGGAGATCACCCTTGCAGTGATGCAGACAGTGCAGAAAAAAGAAATCCCTTTCATGTTCTCACCCACTCTTTTTTTCATGATATCTGATTTAAATTCACCGTTGATCTCTTTTTTTACACCCTTTCTTGCTTTTTAACCCGCCATAATTGTCCCATTTTAAGCTATCATTAACCGTCTTATTGCATCGCCAGCATCCATTGAAGCGACTCTTCGTTTTTGTTGCATTTCTCCCACTCTCACACACACTGCCAATAGAGCCATTTAAAATGTGAAAGTTAAATGTCCTGAGGCATGACGACAGATAATTAGAGTGTATAGGCTCATACGACCAGTCTCACTCACACTGATGTAAGACATACAAATAAGGAGGCTCATTCAATGTGATAATAAAGTTTATAATGTACAACAGGCTCTTATGCCCCGGCCACACGAGGACGAAAACGGCCGTTTGCGTTACTGTTTAGTGTCATATAGACCGTTCGGCCACACGAGGACGACCGCATACGGCACTAAACGACTGAGGAAACAACAACGGGTCCCAAGGTGGATAGAACGGCATACGCAACGCTCTGGGGGGTCAAACGGCTCCGTGTGTGCGCCCTATACGAACATGTTCTGATAGTGATTGCGCAATAGCCCCGCCTCTCCCCACCTCTGCTGCTCACCTCCGCGTACCCCGCGCCATTGCTGATGTGTTTCGCCACCAACAACAACAACTGACCATGCTACAGTTCTTTGTGCAACATCTACAGCAGACTTACACATCCGGGGGGGATCTTACTCGCTGCTTTTGTGGATATGTACTGCAGCTTCAGCGATCATTTTCTGATAATGATTGCGCAATAGCCCCGCCTCTCCCCACCTCTGCTGCTCACCCCCGCGTCAAAGTAAACTGCACACTGAATTCAGATTATTTATCTTTCTCTCGATATGGACATAA